CAAACACCACTTTTTCACAACAATACCAACATTTTCCGGTCTTTCAACAACAATTCCACCAATTTCAACAATGCCAACAACAATTCAATCCACAATCGTCACAACCACCACCTTCATAACCATAACAATCACAACCACCTCATTCGCCGAATTTCATTTCGGAAACGCAACCTTCACCACCACCTCAACCAAAAAAGAAGAAAGGAAAAAAAACTGGCGCGACCCACTACTACCCAAGAAAGGGTGGTATGGACAAAAAAGGAAGAAGAAAAGCTAGCGGAGGCGTGGGTTTCGGCTTCCCAAGACCCAATTGAAGGAGATAATCAAACCTTCAATTGTTTTTGGGAGAAAGTTTGAAGTGTGTTTTATGCATTAACGGGAAGTGAATCTCGAAATCCTGATCAAATTAGCTCCAAGTGATGCGATATTCGACTAAAATGCACGAAATTTGGAGGAATTTACAACAACCTCCAAAACATACGCAAAAGCGGGTCAAACGATTTTGATGTCTTCAAGGCGGCCTTGGGCCAATTTGAAAAAAACAAATCCAACCTGCAACGCTTTTTCGTATGTGAAAGTGTGGCTAAAACTGAAAGACGCTCCAAAATGGATACAACAAACGAAAGGAACTTCACAAACCTCTTCCGGTTCAAAGTGTTCAAGAAACTCGGATGCAACTTCCCAACAATCGAACTGACGAACACATATCGACATCAACGATGATCCGCTCGATCTTGAAACGAGCAACCTCTTCGTCGGCCCGTTGGAAGAAGTAAAGCAAAAAAAGGCGGGTTCGATGTCTACGGGATCTAGTGTTATGGATCATTTTGGAGACAAATTTGATCGATATGTGCAAGTTCAAGAGAACAAGGCCGAGATGATAAATCAGGTGGAAAAAAACGATTGAAGCGCAAATGTCATTTTAAGAGGCACGAGCGACGCTTCAAACAAAAACCGATATGTAAATCTTGAAGATGAAAGCGAACGGCCTCGAAATCAAAGATTTGGCGTTTTTTCTCGCTATAAAAGAGTCCATTCGAGCCCGACGTAGGAATATGAGTAATTTATTTTAGTTATGTTTGATATTTTTGTTATCGTTATTGGTTTTTTTTATTTTAATTAATGTAATTTTTTTATGTAATGTGGTATTTTAATTTAATGAAAAAGTAGTATTAAAAAAAATGTTTTTATGTATTTTTGAATTAAATTTAATTAAAAAATGATATGAAGTGGTGTGATTAGTGGTAAATATCTCATATGTTTAGTAGTGGTTAATGGTGATTATGTGACACTCACCACTATAATGGTTAGTGGTGGGTATAACGGATGATCTTATAATAATGTGGCAAGATAAATAAATAAACATACTAATTTATTAATTAAATAAATTAGTTTATTTAGTAAAAACAGTTGATCAATTAAGAAGTAATTAATTAATGACTTTGAGTTATTAAATTGGTTGGCCTTTGCCCACCATACATTATAATTATAAAATGAAGTAGTTTGGTCATTAAATGAAATATCCTAGTCATCTAGCTCCACCAATACTTAAAAAATAACCCCCTTTCCTTCTCACATTGTGTCAACGATCTAAACAAAAAACAAGGAGAAAGAATTAGCTTTTGATTGTTGGGTGTCTAACAACATTTATTCCAGTTTCAATATCACATACTAATAGAAGTAATTAACATTGGTAACTATTTCCCTACACAAAAAACATATCCATAATTTATGATGTAATCAATTTCTAACATCCTATGGTTGTATTTTGTTGATCCTATTAAGTTAAGTTAACCGGATGTCCAGATATGAGTTTTGAGGATTAAAATTTTTGAAACAGTTATTTTCTGCTGTTATGATATTCTTGATTTCAGTATCCACTAATCTCCAAAGTCCAAACACCAATGTGATTTCATCCCTTCTTGAACCCAAAATAGTCCAATCCTTGACTCTTCATTAGGGATGCAAATTTGACCCACGGATTCGGGTATCCGTAGGTACTCGACCGTAACGGGGACAGTGCAAGGACGGATATAACATTATTTGTCCCGTTTAAAATCTGATTATATATAGCCATACAAAATTATAGTTAGGATTTTATTATATTTTTAACTTAAAAGCTACGAGCTACCACCAGTGGCAGAACCATAAATTTTGATATGGAGGTACAAACATTGTCAATATATTATATGTAGTTATCCAATATCGAGCATTAAAAACATGTTATAATCTTTTTATTTGGGGGTACAATAACATGAAACATGTTTATATATATATATATATATATATATATATATATATATATATATATATATAACAATTTTTTGGGGTACTATAGTATCCCAACGCCCCATCTAGCTCCGCCAGTGGCTACCACCAAAAGGGTTTGTTAAAAAGAAGCTAAGTTGCCGCCAAAAAGATTTCATTATACTAGTTTTAGGGCTATATTTTATAGAAGGTTGAGACTCCTCAAGTTGGCTTTGTTGCAAGCGATGTGGGACTAATGTTGATGGCCTTATTTGCCAGGAAGGAATACCATATTGTTGGAAATACAAAACAGTTAATGGTTTTATACTAGGCAAATGGTTTTTCCATTCTTTTATTAGTTTTACTATATCATATTTATGATGATTAGTTATATTTTAAATAAGTGTTTATATAATAGCTTATTTTTGGTTACATTCTTTATTTTTAATGGCTTAAAAACGATGTTATCAATGTTATTTAGAGTTTGTATTAATGGCTATCTATAAGTCATATACCCATCATATTTCTATAAAAAAACGAGAATGTAGGACAATTGGCACCAAATAAATGTTGACATGGTAGGTGTAATTTGTTTTTCATGTAATTAAGAAATAAATTACCTAATAAATCAATATGGTTGAATTAGTGTTGTATCTTTAGTTTATAAAAGACAAGGAAACCACCAAACATTTGGATTTCATCCTACATTGTCATTAAAACAAAAAATGGTTTAACATGTTTGTTATATATAATGGAAAAGTGCTCACTTTTTATCACATCATATGACCAAGTTATATTTTGGTTACTTTGTTTTTTTTACTTTTTGTTATTTTTACAAACATGTTAGATTCAGAAATAGAAAACTAAAGTAAATTTCTTACTTTGTGTATTAAAATTTAAACCAAATGGGTATCTATCAGGTTCCCACAGAGACAGGGATGAGTGTGTACAAGAACATGAATTATAGTCCCTTTAATATCCGCCCGGTTTTGATCACTATTCTTCATGAACAATTACAAGTTTTAATCCTCCTAATAAACTAAAATCTTTTTGCCACATGTCCTCTTTTCCTTCATGTGGATACATGAAATTTTCTAGAATTTTTGAATTTTCTATTTTCCACTTGTCATTTTATTGTATTTTTCATTTTATTAAATTAAAATTCCACATTTATATGTAAGGTAGTATATATATAAGGTATTTAATAGAAATGATTTATATATGTAATGTATTCAATGTATTAAAGCCTCATCAATTTTAATAATTTAAATTTTTTCTCATTTTTTCTTATAAATTGAAATTTCTCAAATTGTTAAAATTTCATATTTAATTTTTTTAAATAAACTCATATAATACATGGGTCTCACACCTAGTAGTTTAATAATTAGATTTAAATTTAATTTAAACTACATAATATACACGTTGGCCCCTCTTATTTGACCACACGTGTCAATAATATATGAATGGGACATAAATTCATGAATTAAGGACGAAACACTAAAAATATCCCTACTTTAAGGTCTCACCATGCCTTATCATTTATTGAGATGTTCTCTCACAAGTCACCCTATTGTCCTAATTATATTCCCTTGCATCCAATACATATATCACTTCCCCATAGTTATATAAATTATACAAGTGAGCATTCAAATTTGTAAGACCAAAAATAACTCAAATAAATTTGCTAGTGTTACATCAATGAAATAACAAATGGAAGTACTTTTTATTAAAACTAAAAATTTGAAACAATATCGGATAAAATACTTCTTTTTCATCATCATCAAAGAAACATACAGATACACAGTGACAACTCTAGGAAAAATAATTAAGGTATCCATGAAATAATTTAACATACAATATAATTTAAATATTTGAAACTACACAATCAATTAAAGTAATTTTTTAAATAAAACTAATGAACAAAACAAAAATTGTCATTATTCTCTATGAGTTTTTTATATTTTAAAAATAATTATTTAACGATAACAATGTCTAGTGGTTATGGTTTTTAGTTTTTTATTTTGGGAGTTTATAAAAGCTATGATAAGGCGTATTAATGACTGTGTGTTATCTTTGACTAAAGTATATTGAAATTTTTGATAGAATCCGATTTGTTATTAGTAACTTTGAAACCCCCCAAAAAAATTAGATTATTTTTTGTGAGAAAATTTAGAAACAGGAAGGCTTAAAAAATCAATATTTGTAGATGTTGATCGATATTTGCCGTGGAAGATAATACATAACTCAAACAAACAAATCCTTAAAAAACACGATCATATTCATTTTCGGTGGAACGATGCAACTGAAGTAATACACAACTCGAATCATTCTATTTACAAATAATCTATTTTTTGTTTCTACAAATCTTCCTACCCAATGACATGTGTAACATTTAATGCTCATTTAATAAAATTTAATGATATTTTATTATACTAATATGACATATGTCATCGTCTAATTGGATAGAATGATTTGTAGGAACAAAAGTAGGAGATATTTAAGTTCTGTTGATCAAAATTGTCACATCCACCTAGTAGTTCATTGTATAATTTATGTTTGACATCAAATTTTTCTATATTACAATGTTTTATCATCGTATAAATCATCTTCAATTCTACCGTTAATTCATATAATTTATGTTTCGCATCAAAATTTTGAAGATTAGATTTGAGCCCAATTTTTTCATTTGAAAAGCCCAATGATATATCGTAATTAGAAGCCCAACAAAAGAAGTCACTACTCACTAATCCACAATCCTAATAGAGCTTCGAGTGTTTCTTCACTTCAGTGAGAGATTGCTACAGACAACGATGTCGAAGTGGTGGCGCACAGCCGTGGTTGCCCTGAGGAAAACGGCGGAGACGTCAAGGTCATACCATACGATTCAAGCCATTCCTAGGGAGATTAGCGGTAATAGAGTCTCAGTAAAAGATAGAGCCCAAGGCCGTATACCCGCCGTCGTATTCGCGCAACCTAACCCTAGCACCGGCGGCGGTGGTACTCCTCCGAGGCCTGTTTCTAGAAAACATCTATTAACAACCGAAAAACGACAGATTCAGTCTATTCTCAACTCCATTGAGCTTCCTTATTTCTGCTCCACCACTTTTCCTCTACAGATCAGAGCCGGATCGGGTTCTTCAACTCTACTTGAATCCGGAAACGTTCTCCCGATTAAGGTAATGTAGTGCTCCATTTTCTAGTGTTGTCGCGCCAAACGATCCATTACCCCAATTGTTTATGTGAATTAGGCGTTCAATAACACTACAGTTGTTACGTTTCAGAAACTGTTATTGCAAGCAATTGTGTATAACTAGGGTTTCGAAGCGAGATTGGAATTCATACTTGGATTCTGCCTGTTTTTGTATTTGATTGAAATGATGGTGGATTTGATTGCAGGTGCATAGGGATTCAGAGACAGGAAAGCTTTTGAATTTGGTGTTTGTTTGGGCAGACGAAGGAACACAACTCAAGGTTGATGTTCCCATTGTCTTTAAAGGCGAAGATACTTGCCCTGGTCTCAAGAAAGGTTTGTATACTCTCTGTGTCGATTCCATTGTTGTAGAAATAAGAACACAATTTTGATTAAATTACTATGAAACTATGAATCTCAACCAGGTGGTTTTCTGAACAAGATAAGAACAAGTTTGAAGTACAAATGTCCATCAGAGCACATTCCTCAAAAGATTGAAATCGACATTAGCAATCTGGACATTGGAGATAAAGTGTTCATGAAGGAAGTTAATGTCCATTCATCTTTAGAGCTTTTAAGCAAAAATGAAAGCTTACCCATTTGCAAGATTGTTGCAGCTAAGATTGATAGCATGAAGCCCACACAGTAGGCACCCTATTAAATCTCATGATTCAAGAAAGTTCAAAACATAAGGTAATTGTTTGTAGTTTTGCATTGTTATGAGAGATTTTGTGCAATAATTTTCAAAAATCTTGTCCAACTTGTGCTTCTGTAGCAATCAATAGAGATAGTAGGACTGTTTTATTATTATTATTATTATTATTATTATTATTATTATTATTATTATTATTATTATTATTATATATTGGTGATATTATGATCAACTTTTTTTTCTGGGCAACATTATAAGATTGATGATCAACCACAGGTCTCTCTTCCATGCGATAAGGGCTTGTGGTGCAACGTTTTTAAACTACAATGAAAAACCACATAAGGATTACATTTGGTTGATATTTTAAACCAACTGTAGAATTTTATCTAAGAATTATATAAACGTGATTCGACAATTTGCAATTTGATTACATCTATGCTTGTTGGGAGTGTTTGGGAGTCCTTTTAAAAATGACTTGTTAACTTGTTAGTTTTTTAGAAAAAGTCAATAAGTTAAAAATGTGTTTGGTAAACACTAACTTTTAAGTGAAAAAAATGACTTTTTCAAAAAGTCGGGAATTCCTTGGTTAAAAATCCACGAACTAATAACCGAGTATGGGGATAGAAATGAGGATACCCCTGGCCCTCGGTGCTTGATCCCAACCTCAACCTTGATAGTTATGTAATATATAAATAATAATTTAAATTGTATAGCTTGATTTTCGTTAGGAAAATGATCAAACTTAATATTTCGGTTCCTAACAAAAGCTTAGTTGTTCACGATGCGGATGCGAATGCTTGGGCATCATGTAGACGAGGCGCACAAGTAGTCATTAGTGAAGAACACCAAGCAACAAGTTTGCATTGACCTCTCCCACCTCTTGAACCATGTAATAAAGAACACCAAACAACAAGTTTTCATCCTTTGAAACTTCTGAGACATCTATGGATTTCTTGAAAACAGATCCATGTGGAGAATTCACTAAAAAGTTTATTATATCTTTATGCACCACTAAATCACGCCAACAATCTCGAACACCCTTTTTGGGCCCATTCTTGCTCGTGTTCCACCATTTTTCCTTTAATGGCTTCCTACTTTTTTTCTTTAGCAAAGGAACCCTTAGTTCATTCATGCTAGGTAGTTTTATTCCCGGACCAAATTGTCCAATTGCTTCTACCATGATATTAAAACTAGACAAAACTTCAAAAATGGTCCCTGTGGTTTCCGAAAATATCAAGTTTAGTCCCTAAGTTCAAAAAACCTCACAGATGGTCTCTGTGGTTTCAAAACTTTTAACAAATGGTCCTTTTCGCTAACTCCGTTAGTTTTTTGCCGTTAAGTGAAGGGCATTTCAGTCATTTCACAACCATAGGGACCATTTATGAAGGTTTTGCCTTAATTTTTTTTCAAAGAAAAATAAATATAATTATTTAATATTAAAGGGCCCCACCCCCCATCTCTCTCTCTCTCTCTCTCTCTCTCTCTCTCTCTCTCTCTCTCTCTCTCTCTCGTAAGAAAGACTAGATTGTGCAACTCGATCGGTTTATTCTTCTCTTTCAAAACACATCTATAACATCTATAACATTCATTCACATCAAGAAAGATCTAAATTTAAAACCCCCTTCTTCCTTTTATTTATCATTGATTTGAAGGTTTGAATGATACATAACCAGAAAACGATTGAGAATAGGAGATTTTCAGTTATAAAGACGAAACAACACCACCACTCCATCATCTTCTTCCCCGTTCTTCACCAACAACTCAAGCTCCACACACACTTCTAGAAAACGAATTGCTACTATTGTTGATATCTAATTACACATTAAAAAGCTTCATTGTGTGTGTCTTGGGGTCGATGTTAGGTGTCACAGAACCTCGATTAGAAGTATTTTAGGAACGAATTAAGTTCTTAATTCCAGACCTGAAACGGAGATGGAGAAAGGTAGATTTGGAACAAAAACCATACACAAAATCCCACCTCCTACTGCCCCTGCTTTTTCATCACCACCCACCTTAACAAACTCAGGTGGTGGTAGCTTAAGACCCAGATCCAAAAATCGATGGGAAAAGTAATCTCCATGGTGGTTTTCATGTTCACTAGTGGTGACAAACGACGGAACACACAGCGAAATTGTTCATCTTCTTCAATGACGCAAGCATCTTCTACCAACCTTCTTGAAACGTTATTTCTTCACAAGAATCAAAGGTAAGATTCAAATCGCGTTTGTATGTGTAAATTCTTCATCGATCTTCATTGTTGGGTTCTTATCTTCCAGATCTAAGAAACAAGTAGGTTGAGAGATCAAGATGTACAATTCAGGAACCAAACGACAAGACAATTTCAACAAGTTGTGCCCAAGAACCAAAAACAGATGAACACTATCCCCACTATATTATACATGTTGGAGATTATTAGTAGCTGAAACTTGATCCCTCAATTAGAAACCACGAATCAAACCTCTCAATCGGAAATCAGGAAGGGAATATGTTAGGGTCGAAATATTGTAATAGTCGAAGTTTGTATTTAGGGTCTTCGAACATTTTTGTAATGTATTTTACTAGGGCATAATATTCGAAGCTTCATGTTTAGTCCTTAGTATATTTTTTGTACGCTTTTCTCTTCTATAAATAGGAGTGGTTACTAGTGTCTTAGTAACGAAGTCTTTAGAGAATATTCATTGTACTCTGTAAAATTTGCAAAAGCATAATAGAGCCAAACATATCATATTTACATCGGTGTTCAAATCTTTCAATTCTACTTTGAATTTACACTCTAATTCGTTCAATACTTGATTCATTGTCTCATCAATTGGTATCAGAGCAGGAATCATATCTCTGATCTGATTTTCACTTTGTTCAAAAGGTTTTTGAGTCAACTTTTTGATTCAAAAGTTTCCGCACTTTTTGAAAGTGAAAAATTGTTTAGATCTAAGTCTGTGATTCGATTCTGCACTTAATTCATTGAATCGAGTGTTCTAAGAGTGATTGTGATTTGAATCATACAGTTTGTTGTCAAATTCTCAAAGTTTCTTCAAAAATTCTCAAGGATCTATTCCGTACAACAATGGCGTCATTCAATCTGAATTCCATGACTTCATTTTCTCATCTTCTAGGATCATCCACCAAAATTCCTATGCTCATCCCTGAGTATTACGATCAGTGGGCTGATCGTATGCAGGATTATCTCAATGGATTGGATGAAGAACTGTGGAATTGCATTTCTGGCAATCTCAATCCACCATCGAATGTTCAACCAATTGGTTCTTCCTCTGGAAACTCTGAAGTTGAAAATCAATCTGATCGTCTGAAAAAGCTGGAGAAAAGGTGTGTAAGAGAGCTAAGAGGAGCTTTGCCTCCAGTTGTTTACAACTACGTGAGGAGTTGTACAACTGCAAAGGAAATCTGGAACAATCTCAAGGAAAAATTTCAGGGAAGTGAGAAGACGAAAGTTAATTCTGTGAAGCAATGTTTAGTGGAGCTGAAGGACTTCAGACAGAAAGATGGTGAAACAATTGAAGTTTATTACGATCGTCTTAATGAATTGATATATCGATGCAATCGATATGGTATCACCAGATCAGCCATGGAATTCAATCTGATATTTGTTATGGGACTTCGAAAGGAATGGCGTAGTGTGAGCATGATGGTGAAGAATCAACAGAGCTTTGATACGTCAACATTGAATGACTTGTACAACCAACTTAAGACTCATGAAAGCGAAGTGAACGAAATAGCTGAAGAATCGAAGGCTATGTTGGGAGGTCCACTAGCTTTGGTTTCGAAGATCTCTGAAAAAGATGCTGAGAAAGATGCTTCGGATGAAGATGAAGGGTTCATCATGAACTCAGATGATGAGGCAGTTGCCTTTTATTCAAACAATCGTGTGAAAAAGTTCTTCAAAAAGCCTTTCAATCCGAAGGCAAAGTCGTCTGAGACAAAAGGGAACTTTCTGAGTAAAAGTGCTGGGGAAGAGAAAAAGAAAGATGAGATGAAAGATTCGAAGCCTGTTGAGGGAAAGTCTGAGAAGAAGCTAAAGGGAGATGCTGGGATTGATTGTCATTATTGCAATGGTGCTAATCACCTTGCTAATGACTGTATGCTTCGAAAGAAGGATGAGAGAAAGAATAAGGTCAAGGATGAGGCGTACTATGCTGAAAAGTTGGAGGAGGTTCGTGCGAAAGCCAAGAATTTGTCTCTGGTTGCAAAGGGTGCGAATGAGGATGAAGATGGTACTTATCAAATCTGGTCATCTGGATCAGATGATGAGGAAATGCGAAATCCAACCCATGGAGCTATGTTTGCAAAAATGGAGGAAGAATCAGAGGAGGAAACATACGAAGTGCATGGAAGATGCTTCGTATCAAAAGCTGCTGACAAATCACCAATGACCACAAAGGTACGAAACATTCTTGAATCTTTTAATATTCCAGTACATGCTTATAATTCTGAATTAGTATCTTTTGATGAAACTGTTACTTATTTTGATTCGATTGTGGTATCTGCTAGCAATGAGGCTAAGAAGCTGTCAATGCAATTGCTAGAGACACAGAAGAAATTAGATTCGAAAATCACTAAGATAGATTGTCTAGAACTTCAAATAACGAATATCATGGTTGATAGGGACAATTTATCTAGTGATAATAAACTGTTGTTAGCACAAAGAAACATTTACTGTAATGCTGCTAAAAGATTATATGGGAAAATAACTGAACTTCATCATTCATGCGAAATCAGTAAAGAACAACATAGAAAATTGCTGCCATTTTTAGCTTATGAAAGAGCTAAGGTAGATAACATTTCGTATGACTGTGAAAAAGAAATAGCTGATTTTGACAAAGTTCCGAATGACAAGTATAGATATGGAATTGTCAAAGTTGATGAATGTCTTGATTCGAATGATTTAGTTAACATTGTAAATGATACTTTGACTAAATCTGAACAAATTCACATTTTGAAAAAGACTGAGAATTCATCATCTGATTCTCAATCTAATTTTGCTGATATTGAAGATAATTCTGACAATATTAGTGAAATTAGTGAGCTTGAAGATGTTGATTGTTCTCAGTTGTCTATTGTTAATGTTGCTTCGAATTCTAAAGGGAAAGAAAAAGTTAAGGATTTGATAGTTGAGAAAGAAACTGATATTCCCTCAACTTCGAAAGTTAGTGAAATGAACTTCGTGGATCTCAAAGATTACCAAACTGATGATAGTGATGATGAAGATGTAGAGAAAGTTTCGAAAGAAAAGAAATCTTCAAAGAAAGAAGTAATTCCACGAATAGTTGTTGACCAAGTGTATGGTGATACACAAAAGTTCGAAAAAGTGATGAATGAAAAA